TTGTAGCTATTTTTTTAAAGAAATAAAATGTTAGCCAAATATATATAGGCCAAAACAGACAGCCATATTAATTTGTCATCAATGATCAAGACATTAATCACTGGTTAATCATTGATTAATTATAAAATACAATGGATGGTGCAAACAGTTGAACACTCAGCTGCTAACCAAAAGGTTGGTGGTTCGAGTCCACTGAAAGGAAGCTCAGAAGAAAGGTCTAGCAATCTACTTCAGAAAAATCAGCAACTGAAAAAGTCTATGGAGCACAGTTCTACTCTGACTCCCATGAGGTTGCCATGAGTCAGAATCAATTGAGACAACTGGTTTGGTTTTTCTAAATACAATGCTTGCCACTTATAGCAAAGAGCAAGGTTGTTGTTAGTTCTTTTTCCTTCAAGGCAAATAGAGCTATGCCTTCTTAAAACATTAAAGTGCTAAAAATTTCTAAAGAAAGCAGCAACCATCAGCTGGTATAAATATTACCTATTTCAGGAAATTAGCCAGGATACTTGTTTGGTTGTCTGAACCCAATAACACTGATGATTTATCAGTGTTATATAAACTGATATATCTTATATATAGCTATAAGGAGCCCTGGTGGTGCAGTGCTTAACAGCTATGGCTGCTAACCAAAAGTTCAGCAGTTCGAATCTACCAGCTGCTCCTTGGAAACCCTGTGAGGCAGTTCTACTCTGTCCTATAGGGTCGCTATGAGTCAAAATCGACTCAACGGCAATGAGGGATATAGCTATAAAGAAGTCAAATTATATCACAGCAAACAAAAGGCAATACATATTGGAAAAGCTACTTATAATACAATTTGCCTATAAGCTGTCCAGAAAATCAAAAAGTTGACATTCATTTTACTCTGTGAAATGGAAAAATTAAAACCCAAATAACACTTCTGAATTAATTTTCAAACTTTGTTAGGATAAACCATTCATTACAAATTGTGGGAAATCAATTTCATGTTCAAGATGTAACTTGAATGGTTTGAGAGGTGACACATTCATTCACCCATGGAAGTCATTTGGATTCAAAGAGGAGTTGATGTCTTAGGTAGGGAAATAATATTTGCAAACTGAGATGAGTGGCAAATTGCTCTGCCCAGCACTACCCCAAATGCTTGGAAAGACAAAACGTCTGCTCTAAAGACAGAATGTTGTAAAGATCAGCTTGGAGTCAGACATATCTGAACTGGAATCTTGGGTCTGCTGGGCAAGGGCTTGGGAAAGTTTATTTAGGGTTTTGTTTTGTTTTTTTACTTTTTTTTTCTTCTCTTTAACCTTTCTGAACTTATTTTACTTACCTGCAAGGTAGTGATTATACAATCTACCTTGCTGAGATAATAGTGCACCCTAAGGAAGTTAGCACAATGCCTGACACACCACCCTACTTAAATGCCTATCTCCCTTTTCTACTTTACTCAAATGGATTTATAACATACTTGGTTTTAAACATTTTACCTCCATTGACTAGATACTTCAGAGAAAAAAAATACAAACTTCGGACAACCATTTTAAAAAGCAGTAAGCAAATCAATTTAGTCAAAATTTAAAAGATAATTATGTATAAAGACATTCAGTTGCCTTATGTTCCCTAGGTAAGAACGTGATCATTGAATCCCGCAACATTTTTCCTCCTGTCCTCTCGTTTCTCATTTTTCTTCCTTTCCTTGTATTCATCAAGGCAGGGAAGAACAATTCTTTCCCACTGATATTCTTATATGCTATTTAACTGATTGAATGAAACATTTAAGTCTGACATAATAAAGTACTTTCATCTTCTACTTCAAATAACTTAAACATCCTTTTGTGAAACAAATCCCATACTTATTCTTCTTTGTATAGTCCATGAATGTAAGAGGCAAACTGTAAACTGAGGCTTTAAACAAACTGTCAGGCTCAGTGAATCGATTTTAAAGCTAAGGTTTCTTGTGATTCTTTGGAAGAATATATTTATGACAATTGGAATGAAAGTATTTTAGTACACAACGTCAGGGTCATAACCTGGCTGAAATGAACACAATGCCTTTTGATCACAAAGACAATGAGTAAAATGGGTGAATTTCAGGTCTAGGAGAGTTTGATTTAGTCTACAGAACACTAAGACAGCCCAGGTCTGCCTATCAATTGTGCTTTCTTAGCAGGTATTACCAAGAAATAAATGTCAACTTTTCAATTGCCTAAAATGTGTTAGTAAAATTCATAAAAATGTTTCAAACACACTCCATGAAGGAAATATACCATATACTACTCATTTGCAAATTTGCAATGTGTATCAAGCAAGACATTTTCCCTTCTGACAACCTAAGTGGCAGAAAGCTTACATCTCACAGAAGTAATGGAGGAAAGACTCCTGGTCACCAAAACATCTTGTCTCGTTTTACAAGTTAAAGAGGTTAGGTGTACCTGAAATTTAAGTGTACTGATCTTCAGCCTCTTCTGTTTAATTTAGTCATCAGAAAATAATTTTGCTTCATTAGAACCTCTACTCTAGTATGAACATAAATTCAGTGACCTACAGACATTTCTATTTATAGAATCAGTAGAAAGTTATCAATACTGATGACCAAAGTACTACTTTATTCTAAATAAAATCAATATACATATGTTTGCTTTTCTAAATCCGTAAACAGGTTTCTCAAATACTTAAGGAATGGTTTTTTGACATTTAATAAGGCAAGTCTTTTCTCCTACAGATGATTTTTTTTAATGGTTTATTATAAGGAAAGAAGAGTGGTCATTTTAACAAAGTCCCCTTGTGTAAGAAGTGAGAGTTTCATTTCCCAATTAATAATCTCATTATTAATTGAACAACAATTGTTAGGCTCTTTTGGGGTTATAAATGAAAATAAGCTTCTTTTTCCTCATCTGTAAAATAAGAATAAAAATAAGATCTACTTCATAGGGTTGATAGGGGAATGAAACAAGATAATTCATTTCAGCCATTAATAGGTGTTTAGCTGGAGACATAATATTATCTCACGGAATGATTAAAAAATAAGATACAGTTCTTGTCATTAAGGAATCTACTCTCTTGTCAAGGAAGGAAAAAAAAACACAACACAATTATAATCCGAGGAACTTTGTGATAATTACCACAAGAAGCACACACACAGCAACTTAGGAGTACAGAGAAAAGAGCAAACATTTCTGGTTGGGGAACTGAAGAATGCTTCAGCTGAAGAAGTAACATTTGAACTGGGTCTTAAAAAATAGGGTATTCTACAGGACCAGTGGTTAAGCTTTCAGCTACTAACCAAAAGGTTGGCAGTTCAAATCCACCATCTGCTCCTTCGAAATCCAATAGGGCAGTTCTACTCTGTCCTATAGGGTCGCTATGAGTTGGAATCGACTCTATGGCAATGGGTTTGGGTTTCTTTCTTTTTTATGTATATAGCAGAAGATTCACACAAAATTCAGAATCTTAGATCTGAAAGTACTAAGAGGGTTGTTCTAGATTACCCCTAATTAAAAATAAATTCAATATATAAATACGTATTAAGAAATCACTACATAATTGAGATCATAAAATATTTGTCCTTTTGTGATTGACTTATTTCACTCAGCATAGTATCTTCAAGCTCCATCCATACTGTAGCATGTATCAAGACAAAACAAGGCAAATGTATGGAGAACAAAGTTAATTAGCGGTTACCACGGGTGGGAAGGAGGGAGAAAAGGGGGGTTAACGGTGATGGAAAAATCGCATTGATTAAGGGTAGGGTTGCAGAGCCAATTATTGTAATTGCAGTCAATAAGTTTTACACCTGTAAAAAGTTGAACTGGCAAAAGTTCTGTGATAGATATATTTCCAAAAATGACAAAAAAAAAA